CTGCACAAACGCCCTTTTCCGAACAACCTTGCTGTCGTTCTCCTCATCCCAGGTCTCGTCAACATAGTCCTTCACACTCTTCGCCTGCAATTGCATGCCGACAACCTTCAGTGCGGCAATGTTGTAGCCCATCTCGTTCTTCTGCTTCCTAAGCGCCGCCCTCAGGTTCGCCCGTATGCCGTCCAGCATGGTCCTCATTGTACGGCTCGACACGATCTGTCTGTGGTGCGTCTTGAGCATGAAGAACAGAATGCGGCAGGTCAATGGCATGTTCATTGATCGCTGCGCGAACAGGTCGAGGAAGGTAAAAAGCATGGGGACAGTGGAGAAGGGCAGCACAAGAAGCGCGTCATGGAGTGCGGATGCCTTGATGCGCTGCAGCACAGACATGACGTGCGTCTCGGCACTGATGTTGCCGAGAGCAACGAAGATGACATTGCGCTGTGGTGGCTGCGCATGCCGGTTCGTCAACTTCGCCTGCTCATACTCCTTGAGCAGGTTGAGATCCGCCATGCCCAGCTCAAGGGCTTCGGCGATGCGCTCACCCGCCATGAGCGTCTCGACCGTCTGCTTGGTCGCCGCGCCCACCTCGCCGTTGGCATCCTCCGCGTCGGGATCCCGCTCAAGCGAACCCGTGAGGGTGCTCTCGTAAAGCTCCTCGAGCTCCTTCTCGCGCTCCTCCTCGAGGAAGATCTGCTCGTCCGTCTCGTCCCACACGCGGATGCTCTTGTCGTGTCCTGCGCTGACGAGGGTCCTGCCGCTGTGGCTGACGGCCATTGCCCAGACCTCGCCGTGGTGGCCGTCCAGCCTCTGGATCTGCTCAAACTTGTCGCCGTCCCAGTACTTAATGCACCGGTCCTTGCTGGCGCTGAAGAAGTGGTGACCGTTGCCATCTGAATTATGAGGGACAAAGGCAACTTGCAGGATACTGTCTTGGTGACCAAAAAGTGCCTTGTGGCAATCGCCAAAGTCGAGGCCCCATATCCTGATGTTCTTGTCGGCAGAACTAGTAATGATGAGCTTGCTGTCGTATGAGATATCCATACTGAGCACTGGGAGCTTGTGACCGTAGAGGTTAAGGTAAAGCTTGAGACTGTCGACAAAGAAGACCTTCACCGTGCTGTCAAGGAGTGAAACAGCCAGAAGCTTCGCGTCGGGAGAAAACTTGAGGCTGAGAATATCGTCCGCAACTTTCAGTATCCTCGACTGGGCAAGTTTCAGCTTGGGTGTTGTGCGGGTGGTACCCAAGATCTCCTCCTGAACAATCTGGAAGTTCCAGAACTTCGCCGTTTTGTCTGCACTGCCAGACACCATGGACTTGCCGTCAGGATGAACCTGGAGAGACCAGATGGCACCCTCGTGGGCCGTGACGCTGTCCAGAAGGCTGGCCGAGGCGACATCGAAAAGCTCCAACTCGCCTCCCTTGGTGCCAACCACTACAACCTTGTCTCCTGGAAGGAAAGAACAGCACAACGCATAGCCGCACTCGAAGGTGCGAATGCATGTCTGTGTCTTGATATTCCAAATCTTGAGGCTACCGTTCGACGCCGAAGCCAGCATCTTGTCGTCAGAACTCAGCGACACAGAGCGCACATCTGTCCTGTGTCCTGGAAGATCAACGGAAAGAGATCGTGTGTAGTCCGGAGTGTCCTCCTTCCTCGCCTTGCCAGAATCTTTGGTGGGAATGCTGTAGTACTCCAGCTGGTTGTTGGTGGTGCCGACTACGAGTTGAATGGACTTGCTGCCGCTGCCGACAGCCCAGTCAACCGAGCGGACCTTGCCGCCAGTTCGTACGATCACGTACTGGACAAAGTAATCGCTGGCCTCGGCACCAGATAAATCGTCGGCGGCATCGGCTGCATCGCCCATCTCTTCATCCTCCGTCTTTCCATCTTTGGCCTTCTCTCTTCTCCTCTTCTTCTTGCGTGCCAAAGACTTCTTTACCTCGGCCTCTGATCGGATGCGCCAGACTTCAGTCGACTTCTCGGAGCCGTGAACCGCAAAGTAGTCGCGCTTTGGGTGGAAAACGACTTCGGTAGCCCTGTCCTTACTCTGGCGGAACAATGTTCCGCGGTCCTGCACAAAGGTTTGCTGACTGCGGGGCGTCTACACGACCTCATCGAGCAGGCGCAGTTCGATGACAGCTCAGTCGCCGTCGTCAGCAGTCACGCATCGTGTAGTCTGTGACAGCTAGCGCCCAGCACTCGCCGTTGGACTGGGCAATGTGCGTTTCGATACAGTGCCGCGATGACAGGTCCCAAAGCTTAATCAAGGAGTCCTTGCCGGTCGTCAAAAGATAGCCCTCGGATTGTCGCTGTCAAGGGCCATAGCTTGCACATCCTCCTCGTCATCGGGCTGCGCCTCAGGTTCAACAAATCGAAGACCGGTGACTTGATCCTTGTGACCTCTCAATTTGTACTGGCCGACTTCAGCGACAAGATCCCAAATGATGACATCCGTGTCTTTGCTTCCACTGGCTAGTCTGACACCAGCCTTATCGAAGGCTAGATGTGTGATGGCAGAAGAATGGCCCTGGAAGTTGACAATGACCGTCGCAATCTTGCTGTCCCAGAGCCGAATACTGCCGTCTTCGTAGCCCACGGCGTACACATCCTTATCGGCTTTGCTTTGCGCAATAGCAGTGACGGGCAGCGTGCATTTGTCGTCCCTCCACCGACTCAGCAACTCTCCCTTCTTGATGTCCCAGCTCAAGACTTCTTCATTGGCGGCAACGACGACCTGTCCGGCGCCCGTGCCATTGCGATCTTTGGACGTCCATACGAGGTTCGAGGTACTCGATGCGACAACACCGAACGACTTGGTGTGTTCGTATTTCCTGTGAAAATGGTTGAGTCAGTGGACCGTCAAGACAAAGTCAGTCTGAGCCACTCACAAGTATGACTTGACCATCTTGCCGACTCTCCTGCGCACTGGAGAATGTCAATCGCACTATGGTGAAGGGCGCCGTCTCTGAATCTGATCCTCAAATTCTCCCGCCGCCAGAAGCGGGAAACTTTTTCTTATCGATAAGAGATCGATCTCCAAAGCTCCGATAAGCCTGACGACATCACGTGGGGATGTACCGATGTATCCGCCAGCCACAGCCACGAAGCTCCAACAGCCAGAGCCCCACCATCGGTCCAAGGCATCGTCATTCGCAACCGCATCACCACCAACGAACGAGTAGGTGGCCACGCAGCACCGGCAAGATGCTTCTCCTCGATTACCAGAATGTCCTCATTCAGTCCGTGCTGACTGAGAGGTTCTCTGGGTGAGCAATTCCCCCCCACGGACGAGTCGCAATCCTTCCGGCTGACTCGAAGACGTAGTGCCCCTCCCGCCCACATCGACCAGACGGTGTCCGACTTCGACGGTGTCATCTACCACATCTCGACTCCTGAGACGAAGACCCAGATCCTCCTTTCCGTCCACATCCGGTGCTTTAAGGACCTTGTGCAGTACGGTGCCGAGCAGGTGCTGCAGAGGGAATATGAGCAGTTTGTCGTTGCGCCGGAGGCGGGCTACGACTTCTCCGTCCTCATTGACCTCGAGAAGCTTCCCGCTGAACAAGGTTCGTCACTGTCAGGCTCCATTCTAGCACGCACGAGCTGACAAGCCGGTAGAGGAGCGCGATGCTCTCGTTCACAAGTTCGCCATGCTGAAGCGCAACGCCATGGCCGCGCCATTCGAGGCCGCGTACGATGAGCATTACAAGCTGAAGGAAGAGGCGTCGAAATACACCTCTGAGGATGCGCCTCAGGGCGTCAAGGAGGGCGGTGCTATCAAGGCGATTCATTACCGCGAAGAGGAGGCCATCTACATCAAGGCCAGTCACGACCGAGTCACCGTTATATTTAGCACCATCTTCCGCGAGGAGACGGACCGTGTATTCGGCAAGGTGTTCATTCAGGAGTTCGTCGATGCTCGTCGTCGGGCTATTCAAAATGCGCCGCAAGTCCTGTTTAGGAACGATCCTCCCCTGGAACTGCAGGGCGTGCCCGGCGTGAAGGATTCCGGGTCCGGCGAGATCGGATACGTCACCTTTGGTCAGTGTATCCACCGACAGGATACCTGCTACTCTGCTGACCGATCCCAGTTCTCTTCCCTCGCCATCTTACTCAGCAACGGATGCCCGAGGTTATCTCTCACATTCAGACGTTCCGAGACTATTTCCACTATCACATCAAGGCATCGAAGGCTTACATTCACTCCCGTATGCGCAAGAGGACTGCGGACTTCCTGCAAGGTATGAGCTCTATCTATATGTGCAATCAGGGCTTTGCCGCTAACGAGGATCGTCAGTTCTCCGGAGAGCTCGTCCGGACGCCGAGGAGAAGGAGAGGAAGACGGCAAGCGGCAGGACATTCAAGGTTTCGGGTGCTTAGACACCATGATGCCGACGAGACAGTGGGTGTATTTGGGACTTTCCAGATAACAGGGCAGGTAGGTATAGTGAAGACCGTGGTCCTCGTAGGGTGTAAAGAGCGAAATGACGTAGTGACGTGGCCTTCTTATTCAAACTAAAAGAATCAAAATAAACACTTGAGGTTCTTTGCAAGTGATCTGCAGATATTGTGCCACTGCACTCGCCTGGAGGGGACGCGGGGCAACAAAGCGGGTTGGCTGTAGTGGTACCCATGAAAAGCATTGCAGGCTTGGGTGTTAGAATGGATGAGCTATGTCCTGAGTACACTGAGCCTCTTCCCAGCCTCTATTATGGTGTCGTTTGGCTCAGTGTATGGACTGACCCTCATATTTGTTCAGTCACCTTTACTACCTCGGTCAAAGGTAACATCCTTCCAACCGGTTTGAACCAAACACTTCACAGATACTGCCTCTGAGTCGTTCATATACCAACCCTCGGGTAGAAACGGAACTCATCCAATAGTTACCGCCCTGAAGCTTCTCGGCAAGGTCAAGCATGATGGGGCAGAGGATAATTTTTGGAGGCTGTGGCATTTGTCGAATCCGTTGGGAATATTCTCCAACTCACCAGTATGAAAAATCGACGTTGCCAGTCGCTAGCCACACAGCTTGATCGTGTACAAAGTCTCGGAAAGTACACCAAATTCCCACCCGCGGATGCGGCACTGGCACGACATCATCAGGCCAAGTTAATATAGCAGCCACCTGCTCATGAGGTCAAGGTCCTCATTTGTGCTCGACTTGATGAACTTACCGTCTCGTTGGGGTATGATGAGCGCAGCTTGGGGTAATCACAGTAGAAACAAGCAAGGCACTCGGTGCGAGGGAATGTTCGGGCAGTGGAGCATTGGTCATCATAGTCGATCCCACTTACAACAGATGTTCCAACGTAGAGGAGACCGATGCCCTGGTTTCTCAAGCACGAATCTGGTGCATCTTGGGGCATGCGCAAAGTCCCTACCAAGAACAAGCCTCGTTGACATGACTGTCTCTGACTACCTAAGCGCAATCAGGCTCCCAGACGCGATTTACTCATACGGACTATTTGTCAATCACGATCGATGAGGTGCTCACGAGAGAGGGCCTCGTGTTCCAACCGGCTGCGACACTGGCCGTGTTTGACGAGGGGTGGATTAGCCCCTTGATTTTGATTTGGGAAGGGGA